TTTTTTTTTCCCACCTGTGAATTTTTAGCCCATTCTTTCTAAGGTGTGTCTCTTGTACACACCATATTGATTGATTGTGTTTTCTTACCCAGTCTGCACCTGGCCTTCTTGCCTGGTGTATTTTAATCCATTGACATTCAGTGTAATTGTCCACAGATATGAATTTGTTGCTGTCATTTTGTTACGTGTTTTTTCATCTTGTTGTTGATATCTTTGTTCCATGTAATTTTGTGTGCTGAGCTCATTGGGTTTTTTTAATACCTTTTATTGAAATATAATTTGTGTAAAGTGAAATATACAAAACTAACAGTATGTTGCCTATGTTTGACAGAAATGCTACAGCAGAGAACTTTTCTGAAAGTCATGAAGGCAATCAGTGTGGCAAAACCTTCAGGTGGATTCCAAATCTTACCATGCTACAAAGGATTCCTCCAGAAGTAAATCATTTGGAATATTCAGAGTTTGGAAAAAGTTTCATGGATGACCCAACACATACAGACCATACTAGCTCTCAGACTGGAAACAGTTCCTATCCTTGTACAGAAAGTGGAGAAGCCTGTGTTTGTCCCTCTCACCTAACTGCTGCTATGAGAACTCTTAGTGGAAAGAAACCACGTAAGTGTAAGGTATGTGGGAAGAATTTCATTTTTATCTCAAGTGTTAAAAAGCCTTTGTCAACACTCAATGGTGGTGAACGCTATGAATGTAACAAATGTAAGAAAGAGTTTTGTAGGTTGTCCTCCTATTGCAAACACATGAGAGGTCATAAGCATGAAGGTATAGAATGTTGTGACAACTATGGTTGTCCTTCCTCTTTCATTTTACATAAAACATTTCATAAGAGTGATAAGCCTTATAACTGTAAGGACTGTGGGAAAACCTTTAATAGGCCATCGGCATTAAAGGTACATATGAGAACTCATACTGGAGAGAGACCTTATGTATGTCAGGAATGTGGCAAAGCATTTAGTTGTTCCCCCAACTTTGTAAGACATAGAAGAATTCACAGAGGAGAGAGGCCATTTCAATGTAAGGAATGTGGGAAAGCGTATAATCGACACTCCCACCTCAGTTCCCATAGAAAAACTCACAGTGGAGAGAGGCGTTATGAATGTAAAGAATGTGGGAAGGCCTTTAAAGATTCCTCTGGTCTCAGAGTCCATGGCAGGATTCATTATGGACAGAGGCCTTACGAATGTAAGGAATGTGGGAAAGGTTTTATTTGGGCATCGTCCCTAAGGAAACATAAGAGAATTCACAGTGGAGAGCGACCTTATGAATGTAAGGAGTGTGGAAAAGCCTATAGTTGGTCATCAGACCTAACAAGTCATATGAGAATTCATAATGGACAAAGGCCTTATCAGTGTAAAGAGTGTGGAAAAGCCTTTAGGGTGTCCTCCATCCTTACTAAACATAGAAGAATTCATAGTGGAGAGAAGCCTTATGAATGTAAGGAGTGTGGGAAAGCCTATATTAGCCTCTCAGCCCTTGATTATCATAGAAGAACTCACAGGGGAGAGAAGCCTTACGAATGTAAAGAATGTGGGAAAGCCTATATTTGCCTCTCAGCCCTCAATAGTCATAAAAAAAGTCACAGTAGAGAGAGGCATTTTGAATGTAAGGATTGTGGGAAAGCCTATATTTACCTCTCAGCCCTCAATAGTCATAGAAGAAGTCACAGTAGAGAGAGGCGTTATGAATGTAAGGAATGCGGGAAATTCTTTATGAGTCCATCGTCGGTAATTGCACATGGGAGAAGTCATAGTGGAGAGAAGCCTTATAAATGTGAGCAATGTGAGAAATGCTTTGCTTACCACACATCTCTCCACAGACATAGAAA